ACAGCTACTATTTCACACCTTTTAAAGACAGACACAATTGGTTTAATGCAGTAGATGCCATCCATTAGGACCCATTCCAATGCAAGATAAAATGAACCTATGATGCTCACCACATGAGCATCATAGGTTCATTTTATCTTGCATTGGAATGGGCATTGTTGTAAGTGAAATCACTTAGAAGCCGCATGTTTTATTTTTATAATTACAATAAGTGGCAAATTGTTAGAATTCCATTAGGGACGGTAAGCAAGAGGACTTGCATCTGAGCCTGATACATAGCTACACAGAAGTAAGTTCTAGTGCCATACTGTTCATTTGCATTTTCTTTCCTGTAAATTGGATTATGTTTACCCTGTTAATTGTGGCTCTTGAATTGTATCTGAGCAATGCAAGTTTTTTAGGGGTTAAAAAAGTAATAATTTATTAAATTGCATTATGTGCAAGTTGAATAAGGTTTTACAGGCCATTATAAATCTGCAAAGAACCAGTCTTTCTCTGAGAATTTTCCCATGAGCCATCATAATGGTTTGCTGTTTGCTTCAAAATTAAAATACTAAAACTATCAAAAGGAGTGCATGATTTTCAGAGTGGCTGCATTAATAGTGGTTCGCTGATCTTTCTAAAATGGTTTACTTAGTATTTCTAATGTAAAAATAGTTTTCTAATTGTCTTTATTTCTTCCTCTGACAGAATCTGTCTGTTTCTTTTGTACATATGTCTTGTCATATTAGTTTTTAAAGAAAACTTTAAGAAGTGTCTTGCTTTTCTGTTTTGATACAAGTGATAACTGTTTTTTATTCTCTAGTCATATATAGCTATAATAATTATATGCTGTCAAGTTTATTCCAGTGTATAGCAACTAGAGCTGGGGTTATTCATATTCAGATACGAATACCCCCCACAGTAGAGATAAGGAGGGTCCGGCCCCCTGGGGCTCACTGTTCCACTGCTGCCGCAGGGGCTAAAGTCCCTTCCTATCGCTCCAGAGCTCTTGGTGGATTAGCCACTTTTCAACCTGGTAGAGAGGCTTGTCATCCAGCCTCCTGCCAGGAGTGGCTAATCCGCCGCATGCAAAACTTGCAAGGTTTTGCAGGCAAGCAATCTAATGGAATCAGATCCAGTTTTCTAGGATAAAGATGCGGCAAGTAGACTGATCATTACAGATAAAACAAATTACTACAGGACTCATTGAGCAGCTAAAAGGGAAATGCCAAGCAAGCAAGATAACTCTAGAATTAAAGCTCCAAATTTTAATATAGAGTAAGTTTGTAAGATTTCAGTCCCAGTAAAATGTATAGCACATGCTTAATGCAGAACCTCTCTCTTTTTCTCCCCAGATTATATAATTGCGGGCCATCAAGTCAATTTTGGCTTCTACTGGCCCCTTTCAGGGTTTTCTAGGTCAAGAATACTCCGAAGTGGTTTACTATTACCTTCTTCTGGGGACTGTTTATCTTGCCCAATGATACCCAGGCTAGATCTTCCCCTGGGAGGCACAGTAGGGAACTGAACTCCCAACCTCTGTCAATTTCTGAGTTTTTCCATGCCAAGATTTCCTCTATAGTGGCAATATTTCTCAGCTTCCAGAGAAGCTCATTTTCACTTTTTAATTTTCACCTCTCGTTCATCCAGGGAACTACCCAATTCTGTGCCAATGAATGCCCTTTACAGTGAATCTTGCATAGAAAAAAAACGCTGTTCTGCACAGGACTTACATCTTGGTCAGCTTGGTTTTTCCTCTGCAATTTCCATGTAAATGGCACACAAGAAGAATGCTATTCTGCACAGGAATTGTAATAATCCTTCACTGCTTTGTACTTTTTCCAGAAAACATTGCCATAAAACTTCCAAGAATTTCATGCGATTTCCCACGGGGTTTCTTGGGGGAGGAAGAGAAAGCTCACACAGAGGGGAATTGCTGAGAGAAGAAAAACTATATTCTTAATTGCACCCGGGAATATGAAGTTGGGAGATTTTTCACACCTAACAGTGTGGGAAACCAGCCACACTATTCATTATTTTTATTTTTCCTCTAATTGAACATTCTCATCCAAAATCCTAAGGCAGTGTTCTGTAATTTATCTCAGACAATACCTGATAGGTCACATTCTGGCAATATCAATACTCATGGGGCTAAAAATCTCTGCCAAACTGCAAGTTTTAATCAATTTCTTTAAATTAAGCCTCACTTCCTTATATATAAGGTTGAAGATAATTTGCACATTCGCGTGCACCAAGCAACTTTACAGGATGTGACTAGATCAGGGACCTCATAGTTCTCCTCTGTCTGAGCACATGAAACTTCTTGTCATAGTACCTCATCATCCAAATTTTTCAGCACTACTAAAGGCTTTAAAAAGTCTCAGCTCTCTATATCTCCAAATCCCTGCATCTACTCTTGCATGAAATCTGATCTTGCATGAGATTCTCAACATCTACAGATGGGAGCAAGGAACAGAGCTACCTGTATCTAATACTTCTTGTGTAAATCAAATGAAAGTTGGAAATATATAGTCATTAGACATATCTCTTTGTTGGGTCTCTGTGGTTGTTGCATGCTGCTTTTATTACTGCTATGTCCTTCTTCCAGTTGCAAAAGTATATTCAGATATACACCTAACTCTTGATGCAAATCACATTAGTGTGAGTGCTACAATAATAAAACTATCTGCCACTTCATTATGTAAGATCTAACTCAAGTTCTACATGTTTTCTTGCTCTATATGAGAGATGGGAGCTTCATATTTGTCTCCTGGAAGACATGACTATGAATCTTGATACCACAGGTGGCCAGTCTGATTGGCAGCTGAGCAGTCCTATTGGCACCCTTTCACCGGATTGGTCAGCAGCGCAGGGAGGTGAGGAAGCCCCAACCCGGCTACTTCTGTGATTGGCGCTGTGTGAAGGATGATAAACTCACGCACTGTGCCACAAGCAGTAAATGGATGCCACTTCAGGGGAAGGGTCCAATTGGACTGGCCGCCCATGGTGGTGAGCTTCATATTCATCTTCCCCATCTCTACTCTATCTGCTGCAGCACAGATTTTATGAGCACCATTCTTTACAAACTTCTATAGCTGATGGTGTGCTTCTGCACAACATGTGGCTTTAGCTAGCCTGTAATACAATTAGAGATACAAACATGTTTTGGAAAATGTTCAGATGTGAACATGTCTAGTACTGACATTTATACTTTCAGGGGATGATTTCTCTATACAGAGACTTATTTTTCCAACGTTGTGATTCTTATATTTAGTAATTAGTGCCATCAAGTTATTTCCAAGTTATGGTGATTCTCATAGGATCATGTTAGCTCAACAATGGAAGAGAAGAGATTTAAAGGGTGCAAATCATAACAAGCTCGAGAAATAGGACTAAAAGTTTCCTTAGTCGAAGAGAGTCAGGGATAGCTTGTCCAGCAATCCTGTGCTGGACTTATCCTTGGCTAATAATGTGACAAACAGAGGCACATACAGTACATGCAGGGAAGCATTTAAGTTATTGAGGCACGTTTTCATAACCTTGTTGACTCTTTGTATGTAGAGAAGCAAGTTCATGGCAATTCACTAAAAATTACCCATCTTGTTATTGTGTCCCTGTCAATGTCAAGAACTATAGTCTGCAGTTTTGTTTCCCCTGTCCCTATCTGTTCTATTCCCTAGCCAGAGTGGAGCAGCTGTGTTTCTTGACCTTGCTTTTCATGGGAAAGAAATTATTGTTTCTGATGTTTAGCAGGTGGGGGGAATTCCTCTGGTCAGCTGTTTCTTTGAGGAGGCTTTGCTATGCTGGCCTCTAGTAACAAAGATTTAAAGAAATAAAGTCAGGAATATATTGACTATAGGATTTATATGTATTGAAGAAAAAGAAGGGAAGATTGGATTTCTTTTCTACACAGTTGCATAAACTGTCCAATAAAACAAACAAACAAAAAAAAAGCAAAGCGTGCTGCTTGTGGTGATAGCCCCATCCAAAAAAAAAAGCAAAGCATGCTGCTTATGATGATAGCCCCATAGTGTTTAAAGCATTCTCTGGGCAGTTTACAATTTAATTCTGCAGGCTACACATTGCTGTTTCAGCAGACTGAATATTCAACTTACCAGCTTCTGAAGGATAGAAGGCTGAATGAACCTTAAGCTGGCTTCCTGGGATTGCACCCAGGTCATAAGCAGAGTTTTAACTGAATTACTGCAGTTTAACCACTGTGCTACAAGACTCCCATCTACTTCCTTCTCCTTTGAAGAACAAAGAAATAGTCCCAGTGCTCCCTGGCAATTTCAAGGCTGTATAGGAGTGGTAATTCCACAAGGATCCTTCTCTATAAAGCCTAATTTACCTTGCTATGAAGTGTTGCAATTCCCAGGGGAAACTGGAACTGTTTCCTTGTGTTTCAGAAGATAAGGACATAGATGGGAGCACAAACAGAGGTATGGAAAGCTCTTTTCTAGGCACCTGTTTTTGGCCTTCTTCTCCCAGGATTCTGGGTAAATTCTGGAAGTGGGAGTTTAAAAAAATCTGCAAGTCCTACCCCTGCATGTAACCCAGTCAGTCACACATGATGGCTCTTCTCTGAGGTGGCATAGCAGGGATCCAAATTACCTTCCCCAGGTTCTTCAGCCAGGCACTCCAGCCCACCAAACTATACCAGCTGTTACTGTTTTCATAAAGTGGCTTATTCTTGAGGCAGTACAGATGATCAAGTGTCAAGTAGGCAGTACGATGACATTGTGTCATTATGCTATCAGGTAGATTTGAGGAGAGAACACAGGAGCTTTGCATGAAAGATAGTATGAGTTTAAATAGGGGATATTTGCATTATGAAGCAAAAATGTGATAATGAGTATTTTAAAAACGTCTTCATCATCCTTTCCGAGTAACTAATAGCGTGCTTATATGTTTGACAACCTTCCAGACGCAAGCCAATAATATATCGTTCTCTGACTTCGTAGTTGCTTTAATATAGTACAGTGTGATTGATCATTTCTTTTTGGTTTTTCACCCAGGTAATTATTATACTTACTGCAAGTGCCAAGTGTCAGAATGTATCATTCCTTTTCTGGAACTACGCATCCTTTACAAACTGAAGAGCAAGAAATAGGCATTGATCCCTTGCAGAGTTATGTGAACAAGACTGATGAAGGTGAGTATTATTTTACACTTACAATCTAAAAAAATCAGAGGTTTTATCTCATATATATCTATAACAAGGTTGGGAAACACATGGCCCATGGAACACAGAGCCATTTTTGTGGCCTCCAGTATCGGTACAACCTGCCCCTATCTTTAAATTGAAAAAGAAAAGGCTTGGAAAGACTCCCTGTACCATCTAGGGAGCATTGAAGGAATTTTGCCATATTTTAAGGAGACTTCTCTTGTTCTCAATTAATTGCCCAAATGTCTCAATTTTTTTAAGTCATCTGCTAGCAAGTGTAAAGGAACGTTTATGTTTGTTTAAAAAAAAACTATTTAAGTTAACCCCATGTTTCAATCAACTATTAAAAATTGTTATAGTAGCCTTTGCAGTATGCAGTCACTGCATTTGTAAAACAATAATACATTTGCAGTTTAGTCTTTTTCATTCCACCCATTTGGGAGTGTGGCTTGCAGCCTGCAAGCATATTTGTAAAGTGGCCTTTGACAATTGGTCACCTCTCTGGTCTTTCAAAACAAAAACAAAAACACATGCTTAACTCCCCCACTTGCAGCTGAATTTCTATGTTTCAGTGTGTGACAGGTTCCAGTGAAAGTTATGAAAAGACAATGCAGAGTTGTGTAATGAATTGTTGGCCAAATGTCTGAGACATTGCTATCCTTTGTAACCACAAACTAAAAGGCAAGTTCACCATCAGAATGTTAAATGTTCTTTATTAAGCGTCATGCAAAGATGGCCTCTTTAGCCAACTTGTTTCCTGTCTTAATGTCCTATTTTACTTGGTTTCCACATGGTTTCTGCAGTTTGCTAGATAAAGTTTTGATACTTTCCCATTTCATTTTTTGAAGATACAGTCCATGTAGCAGTTTCTCATCTCCTTTTATTTTCAGTTTTAAATGAAGTAACCATCCAGATCGAACACCTTAAATGTAGCTACAGAAGAAATCTAATTGTAGTTGCTATTAGAGTAGACCCAGTGGAATTCACACTGCTTACTACTATTAAGTTTAATTTCTTTCAGAAAATGTTTACTCTAATTTCATTTAGTCCTATAGTTTGGGTATACTTATTTATTTATATATACCTGTATATTTATTTATATGTTTATATATATATATATATATATATTTATTTATATATTTGTACAGTAGAACCTCTACTTACAAATGCCCCTAGCTATGAACGGTCCAACTTACAAACAGCTTTGTTTGCAAAATATTGCTTCTACTTGCAAACAGAGCTTCAAGATATGAATAAAAAACGCAGGGAAAGTGGGGAAAGCGTGAGATTTGAACTTTCAGTTGACCGTTGGCCAGTGAAGAGGCTGTTTGTCTGCAGCATCACTCGTCCAAGTGGTTAGAGAGTGGATAGGGAGAGAATCTTCAGACTGCCCGGTACTGCCTGGTACTGTACTGTACGGACTGTGGGTTTTTTTGTTTTTTGTTTGTTTTTGCTTTTTTATTTTTGAATGTTTGACTTTTTTTTAAACAGAGAGACTGCCTGTTCTAGGTGAGTACATACACTGTACAATATTTACTGTACTGTACAGGTTTTTTTGCGGGGGGGGGGCAACAGGGGCCATTGCCCCAGGTGCCAGATTCTTTGAGGGAGTGCCAAATTTCAAACATAAAACAAACTGCTGGCAAGAGGTGATGGTGGTGGTGGTTCTGATCCTGGAGCACCAGCCAAGGCACACCTTGGGTGTTCTTCACCTTCAGGTGCTGGAGGATGGTTACTGGAGAGGCTGCAAGGGGGGCAGTAGCTCCTGAAGGTGAAGTCATGTCTCCTTTCTCAGATTTGAAGTCCCTCCCAACTTAAGGGGAGAGGGAGCAGAGAAAGCGCGGGCAGGCAGGTAAGCAAGCAAGGACCTGGAGGAGCTGCTAGGACTCTCTCTCTCTCTCTCTCTCTCTCTCTCTCTCTCTCTCTCCCTCTCCTCTCTTTTTGTCCTTAACAGCACAAACCTTTGTCTGAGGGGTCTGTGTGCCCCAGTGATGACCTTCTTTCTTTCTTCTTTTCCTCAGTGTTCCTTCCCCCTCCCCCCTCCTTTCCCGCCCTTTTTTTAAGCTAAAAGGATTACTCCTATGCTGTTCTTTATCAGATAATACAAACGATGTATCCAAATTATGTAATAAAGCATTTTTATTAACACAAGTGGCATTAGTTATTTTATCAACTTCAACAGGGGTTTGTAACATCAACTGGGGAGGGGAATCTTCCCAAAACCAAGCCAAATATTTCTCATTCGGCAACTTTCTCAGTAATAGGTTTTTGCTGCCTTCTCCCTCTTGGTAGGCATTCTCATAAAACCGTTGCGAACCACGCATAGAGTCCCGCAACAGGGATGGCGGGCTCATTCTCCCTCCTTCGACAGCTCTCTTTCTCTACTGCAGGATCTAACTGATGTACCATCTTCTCTGGACCGTGAGCTCTGGGATACACAAGAAGCGTCCATTCTTCAGGACTAAGACCAGGGATTATAGGTCTAATTTTCCCCTTTGTAGAGCCTCTAATTTCTTCATCAGCATCTTCTTCTGCTGGTCTCTTCTGCGGGATCGAAAAGACCTGTGCCTCCTCGTCCGATGTTTCAAATGCTTTTTCCTTTATTACAGTTAACTTCTCTGTCTCCCTGGATATATTCCCTTCCTCGGTCGTCAAGAACACGCTCACTCTCTCCCTCTCACTTTCCCAACCTGCTCCTTCTCTGGCCATCGTTGTTTCTGACCGTTTCATCCATTTTTCCTCCTTGCGACTTTCCCTACCTCGAACCTCTCCTATCTCCTTCGCGCTGATCTTTCTTTCCTCCCCGGTGTGCATGTCTGTCATTTGCCTTTCTTTGTGTCTTGCTCCTAACTCCCTTTCTTGGTCTACCTCTAGTATCAACAGTACTGCAAATGCATGAGGTAAGGGTTACTAGCTACAGTAGAGTTTATCGTCTGCTCTATATACCTAATACAGAGAGAGGGAAACAAGACTGCACTGACCTTATTGTCTTGGCTTTAGTCCATTATTGTGGTTCCCATACACATGAGTGACTGTTTTGAGGTATTCCCCTTTGATACCACACTACTGTACATGTGCAAAGGATGAAGAGGGGGCGTGAGGGAATACCTACACTGGTGGCGAGGGACCAGTCAGTGTGTTCCAGAGCTATATTTATCATTTGTACTCTTCAAGTCAGCGAGTAAGTGTATCAAAAATGTACATGGAATAAAAGTTTTCTTACTTCTCTGGTGGAATACTAGTATGCTGTTTTCAGAATGCCCTGCTTGTATCAATAGTTTTGTGTGAGTTTATATGTATTTTAAACTATATAGAAGGTAGTAGTATCAATCTGCTTCTGACAGTAGTGTTGCTTGTGTGGTCATTTTTTCAAAGACACATCACTGTGATATAGTTGTATCTATAAGAATAACTATGTCTGTATTTAACACACTCCATCCATTTGAATCTTCTTTTCCTCCATATACTAAAATATGTGGTATATGAAGGGAAGGTACAAAACTCATTAAAATGATCTTATAAACCAAATGCCTGATTGGTCATATCTGAGTTATTCAAATTCATCAACCTTCAAAATCCTTCAGTCTCCACATCCAACAAGCCCAATGGAAAAATAAAAATGTAACATTTGTATTCAAAAATGGGAATACTAGGAAAAAATTATTGCAGATTTGTATCTTCATGGTAGCTTTTTTCCCCTGCCCCATGAGGCACATACTGGGAATGTATTGTTTAAAATAGAAAAATTATAAATGATAAATTTATACATTTTAGACCTCAGAAACACTTTTAATTTATTGGATTTTTCTTCAGGGTGTGCCCAGGGCAATTAGTTACCCAGATGGGAAAGACTTTGGAGTTTTTATGTGAACCTTACCATTGCTGCAACATATAAAGTTATTAGTACTGAATTGATGTTTAAAAGTGCCATTAATTCATTTACCCCAAATGTTCATTAACAATGTAAATGTATGCTGATGTTCTATGAGACAAGGAAGTGACTAATGACTCTTCGCACTAACAACACTTAAAATGAATAGAAACTTAAGATAGCTAATCTTGAAGTAATCAAGACCCTCATTCAGCTTGGCATCTCTGTATGCTCTAAAACAGCTGTCAACTGTTAAAAATATATACACAACACAGAGATACGCACATGCAAGGATAGAGATATGTAAATACATGGTTTCCCAAAGTCATAAAGGTTACCAGCCATAGTACATTTTTACATTCTATATGTAAATATTTTATATAAAGCATCCATTTCATCTTAGATTTTTTACAGTGAAACACAGACTGCATTTTAATTTGGTGCCATGTGCAGCCACGATTCATCATTTTTCCATTTTATATCATTATTTAAAATGAAATACATGGTGGATACTTGTATGTTGGTAGTGGTGGTGTATCATGGATTTTAGCATCTAATTTTCCTAAGCCAGAAATTCAGTATCAGAATTCAGGAACTGTTCTGTAACATCAGATCATAGGAATTTAGCTTCATCTGTTGCATGGAGTCCACCTCTTGGTTCTCCAATTATGCATCTATGTATTGACTTACATATGTATATTTATATGTAATTCAATAAATAAAGAATTCACATTGCATCTGAAGATAGAATCTGAGCTCACGTAAAGATGCTGCATGGACAAGCGGCTGAGGACTAACGCTTGGAAGCATTACCTCTTTGGACTAACTCCCAGAATCCCACAGCCAGCGTGCTACCTAAGGGATTCTGAGGGTTATAATCTAAAACATGAGATTTCTTAAGTTCTGCTGGGGACCAAACTACATGTTACATTGCACACTTTTTGAGAACAAGATTAACTAGCATCTTTTATTTTTAAGAAAAAGCTATTTTCTGTGCTGCATAAAACATTAGAGATGCAGCTTCAACCCATTACATTTCATAGAAAATAGATCTCTGTATAAGGACAGGCACTAGTACAAATATTGCCTATGGCAATTGTTCAAAAGTAGCTTAGAA